GAATTGCTCAGCCTTCATGTCCTCGACTAAATTGGACCTATGAACTGTTATGGAAAATATCTCTCGACATTGTATCAACGTGTGATTTCATATATAATAGCGCATAAAATTCCTGTTTTCATTCTAAACCTACATTAAATTAAATGTTTGAATAAAATTGGTAGGGTTGAATATTGCAAAATAAATTCTACTGCACGAGAGAGTCTATGAAGGCATTTGCATAGCAGAAAGTACTATTTCTATTTACAGGTTGATAAGGATATTTCTACTATTCGAAAATAGTGTTATTCCTTCAAAACTATAGATATAAAATAAAAACTTATAGTTCAAAATGGTTAGGCCAAAATAAATTTATATACTATAAGTTAGTTAGAGGATGATAACCTAAGAAAGGTGGCCATGAAGTGATGTTACATGAACATGCCCTCAACTGCCCCATTGCCCACTTTATTAAATATCAAGAACAGGAATTGAAAGAAAAGTAAACTTGAATTTGGACCTCCTCACCAACCCCGTTCTTTCTGTTCGGGTGTACATAGGCCGGGTTGGTTCGGATTTTATAAATACCAAACCAAACCAATTGTGTAAGGTTATTAAATATAAAACCAAACCAATTGTGTAAAGTTATTAAATCTAAAACCAAACCAATAAAACTTGGGTTTTTCAATCTCGATTTTTCTCAGGTTTTCGGGTTATCCGGATTTTTTCGAATTTTTTTCGGGTAAAATCTTCGTAGGACAACATATAACTTGTGCTCAAAATATTTCTTTAATCCCAATAAGATACAACTATATAAGGTATTTTCCAAGAAAATAATACAAAATATGAGATGTGTCATGGCACTCCTAAAATATTCAACAATAAAGACAATAACATTATGTAATATAAATATTGCTAATTAAAAAGCCATAATAAAAATAAATATAATCAAAAAGTACTAAGTCATGCTAAAATAAGTAGACTAATAAGAGAGTATTAATTACATGACTAAACGCTAAAGAAAAAATAAAAATAGCTAGGTTATGCATTTTTATCTAAATTATTGCAAAAAAAAAATAGATACTCAATACATTGTCGTTTGTAGTATTGAATTGAATGTCTTTTGTTAGCATTAATATTGATTTGATTTTAGTTTGTGCTTTTGTTAGCATTATTTAAGTTATTAATATTAATGGCTATAAAACTTGTTGGAACATTCAAAAGTTCTAAGTCCAACCTTGAAATAATACCTTAAAAGATAAAATTATGAAAAAGTTTAAGAATATATTTATAAATTACATCACAACAAGTATATTTATATATTTAAATATATCTAAACTTTCTATATATGTAATGTCGGGTTGGTTTGGTTTCGATTTGACTTTCTTTAGTTAAAATCAAACCAAACCAATTATGATCGGGTTTTTTTTTTCCAACACCAAACCATAGTCGAATTTTTTTCTCAGTTTGACTCGGATTATCGAATTGTTGTGGTTTATCGATTTACTTTGTACACCCCTACTTTCCATACATAGACCACAAATCTCATACTCTTATCATTTAACCATGATTCAACACTTACGCTAACCCATGGATAAATATACCAATGCTGTGAGATGTTAAATTTAAGATGTCGAAGGTATGATGTATTTGAACAAATAATGGTAATATGAGAAATCAAAAAATTTAAGTACGATATATTTACAATTACCTCTAGTTTTGCAGAGACTTGGGTTAATGAATACTTATAAGAAAGCACTATCTTTTAGTAGTAATTAGCCATCTATAGATACCATTTGCTATATTACGAATTATAGATATCTTTTTTGTGGTTATAAGATGTATTTAAGCTATTGTATTCATGAATACAGTAGTAAAAATAGGCGTGAATCAGGAAAGTCCAGCTAATCAGTTGTTATATTCGAGTGTATTTGGCTGTATTCATGGAGTGAAACGTGGGATTACAGCTGGACAAATTATTTTATTCGACTGTATTCACGGCGTGAAATAGGGGATTACACTGTTTTTAAAACGGAAACTGAATCAATTAACATAATAGACTCCTAATATAACTCAATAAACTCAATTATAACACACAAATTTTGTATTTTCAATTATAAAAAAGATTCTCAACCGAAAAATACACCAAAAAACAAAGCAATCTTCAGAGAAATTATATAATACACCTGAATACATAAATGATATTAATTTAAAAAAAAATATATGAATACATTCATGACATATAGCTAGACAGTGAATACAATGAAATACATAGAATACAACGGGACATTGAAATACAATGAAAAAAAGACAGTGAATACAATGAAATACATGGAATACAACGAAATACATTGAATTACAATGAAAGAAAAAAGACAATGAATACAATGAAATACATGAAAATACAGCGTGATACATTGAAAATACATTGAAATATATTAACAGAAAAACAAGTTGCTCAGCTCCAAAATCCGTCGTCTTTGTTCAACAACAAACCCTAATTTCCGACGAATCCTCCGTCGAGCAAAAATCCTGAATCTCATTATTCCCACGCATCCTGTACATTGCTTTTGACACATCAATACCATCGTAGCTTTTGTACCACTCCTCGCAACTCCCAGGTACGAAGCCATGATCAACTCCCTCTTGCTTACAGAGTGTATTTCGATTATATAGGCATAGAAGTGAACAAAACTAACTGAGTTTTGCCTGGGAAAAGGGGATAGTGTGGGAGTAAAGCGAATGAAAAAGAATTGTTAGGTGTTGACAGTTTCCGGAGAGTATTACAACGTCGTAGGAGATGGTGATTCAATCGTGGTTTCGTGGGAGAAGAGAGTAAAATGTATGCAAAAAGAGAGATAACGTGGTTTGTGAAATTTACCATGATTATGTGAGAGAAAATCTGAGAAAGGAGAGAGAAAAATATTAATTAGCGTATATGGTGCCTTAAGTGTAGGATATAACTATAATTAGATATTTTGTTATAAAGGGTAAAAGGTAACTATATAATATAATTTTTTAAAATGATATTTATTTAAAATAAATAGGGTACTAAGCTTTTCTATAGGGCGTAAAATTTCCTACTTATAACATATGATCATATATGAAACTCATCAAACTGCACATGGACAAAAATGTAGGTAAAGAGACATTTGTACATTGTCAAATTAAAGCATAAAGTTAATATTGAAGTTAGTTCAGTAATTTTATAAATTTACTTAACAAAATTATCGTGTCGAACACACACACACACACAAAAAAAACAATGATAGAATATTCTGGAGAAAAGGACAAAATTCGGGAGAATAGATGCACAGACCCTCGTTAGTATTTTTTTTCTTTCTTTTTCACACAGGACCTCCTCCCTTAACTGTTGAAGGAAAGGATTACAGCAACAAAAAGTGTATTCACAGTATGACAGTATTTAGATTGACATTCGACTTCAAAGTATTTGACTGCATTTAAACTACCATTCGACTCAAAATGCTAAGACCTTAAGTCCCTGTTTTCAATGCCAGTTATGATAACTGGATCGACTAAAGTCGTATATAATCTACTGTGGTTCGATACTGTACACTACTATGAACAACTCCAGCTGAAGCGATAGATTATGCCAGCAGAAGTATGACAGAAGAATCATAAGATGGTATGCAAAACATCCACCACATGATTCTCTACAAAAAATAGGCCAAGTACCTATCAGTATAACTGTATAAGGTCCGGAGGAGCTCAGCACAATCAACAAGCACTCAGAGGTTGAATCTTTTCACGTATTGCTCTGTAGCACTGGAGACTGCAGAGAGGAAGTTTTGATTTGGAGTCTCTGTATTTATACGTATTCATACAAGATGGACCAGCACATTTCTCGCGAGGTGGAGGATAGCTGAAAAGCCAGATAAAACCCCAAATAAAAGGTAACATAATTTAGTGATCAGTAGTTACACAAGGGGGAAAACTTGAATATTGGAAAAAGGTCCGCAAGCTAACAACTCTAAGCATCCAAACTTCAAAAATAAGCATTTCGTTCTAAAGAATATATCACCTGAAAGCCTTAGGCTCAAATATGCTCGGGAGTCCCATCTCATTAGGAAACGTCACAACATTACCAGAAGGACCCATGACCCATCTGATAGTACTTGATGACAGTGCAGTAGCAGTTGCATTCCTCTCCTGAATGAATAAACATATGTGCAAAAGAAAATTTGTGATATATAATAAAGAGTGGAGTGCAGAAGAAAACTTAACATTGTAGCTTTTGACTCCTTATCAAGAAATTACTCTCTTTAAATATTAACAGCTTCTTCCCTAATTCTAGAAGTGCATGGAATGACCACAATTGATCCAGATGTGCTCATTGAAGGATGTCATAGACACTATAAAAGACAATGGAAGACTATTTTAAGCAGCAAGGAGCAGGAGTGGCAGAAGGGAAGAAGAAGATACTTCTTGCCATTACTATGGACGGCGACCAGAGAAAGGAATGAACTAAAAGGAACCATTCCCATGGATGGTCAAGAGGGAGAGGAGAAGAAAGGAAAAAGGCAAGAAAGAAGAAAAAATGAAACCACCATGAACATGTTAATTGCTAAAATTTTGACCCTTAGTAAATCCTACGGAAGAAGGGGGGCCTTGAAATAATGGTAAAATTGTCTCCGTATGACCTATAAGTCACGGGTTCAAGCCGTGGAAGAAGCCACTAATGCTTGCATTAGGGTAGGATGTCTACATCACATCCCTTGAGTGCGCCCCCTTCCCCGGACTCTACATGAACGCGGAATACTTTGTGCACTGGGCTTCCCTTTCAATAAATCCTATGGAAATTGCCAAAAGCAATAAAGTAGAAGGGGCTACAATAAACTTTGAAATTCAAGATGCTCGACTTGTGCTGCATCTCACCTGTGCTAACTCCTCTTGTCGCTTCTTAAGTTTATCTTCTCGCTTTTTCCTATTAGAATCTTGACCAAGGATTTTCCTTATTGCTTCAGCCTGTAAAAATCAATACAAGTAAAGAACTTACATAGCTGTACGGAAGCTATATCAACATAAGCACATAAACTAGAGCAAGAGGTATAAACCTCCGACTCTCGAGCAGCCTTTTCAGCTTGCGTTCTCCGTCTTTGTGCAGCCTCGGCTTTCTTCAACTGCTGTTCCACTTCAGATAGCTTCTCCTTTTGTTCTGCAACCAGATCAAAATGAATTTACCAGCTGATCCTGAGCTGAAGTATGTTATCCACAGAAGACAGGGAAACATACTTTTAGGTGGTGGAGGTGGAAGCCCATGGGGGAATCCAATTGCACTCAAGCCTGCGCTGGAAGAAATATCTTTTCCAGTTTGAATTGCCTGTTGGCGAGTAGTGACCGCCAATTTTGTCCCACCATCCACTGAGAAATCAATGAATTCCTTTCGTTGTTGCTTCTTCTTGGGTTCTAACCCAGTATCAGAAAGCACCGCTCCTTCTTCAGAGTCAGTATCCTGAGATTCCCTAGCTGATTTGGATTTCTTCATCCCTTTACGTGCTTTGAGCGAGTTGTAATCACTAATACCTGCACCATAACCATCGGTAGTTTGACTCAACACCCTTGATATCTTCCGTTCCTTTTTACTTCCAGGTTCATCAACATCCTCATAGCCAGCACTATAAATAGCAGAGTACTTGGAAGACTTGAGCTTCTCCAGGTAACGGATCTCATCATCATCATCATCTTCATCATCTGATAAATGTCTTTTAAGCACAGGTTTGCTTTTATGAGCTGCTTTATATTTTCTAAATTGTTTCAAAGGGGCAATCTGCCCAGGTAACTGATCCTGCAAGGAATCCACTCTCCTGATGCTAAAACCAGTTTTAGCAAAATCCTTCCAAGGGATACCTCGTAAGCCAATTGCCTTGCCAGTATAAGAGGGATGATGTCCACCAGTATTCTCCTACAAAATATGAAAAGCAGACCTCAAATTAGCCTNGAGGGTATGACGGTCACATTCTTATGGACTTAGCTGGTGGCTTTAAGTTTAAACTTTTATCAAGGGAAAGAGACTGCAAGCTGATGTCCCCACAGGCCACAAACTTGGATTTTGCAGCCATGAAAAAGAGAAAACCACTTAAAGAAGCTCAAGAGTTGCTGAGAGGACAGACTAAGAAGCTCTAGAGAACTTTAAACATGACAAGCTCATTCAAGACATGTTAGGGAAAGTTTGTAACTAAATGGTAACGTAAGTTAGGGCAAAGGGCGAGAAACAGCTTTTGCTACAAGGCTTTCATTGTTTCTTTACAATAGTGTCTTCCGCATCGGGTACGTTTTCTGTAAGGCTTCTCTGTAAGACGGTCATATTCAAGATCCTGGTATGCATTAAGTTATGTTTAACATGTGGAATTTGAACCCATGCCCTTTAGGACCAGAACCTTAATCTGGCACCTTAGACCAAGATCATTTAGGTTACAATCTTCTATGCAACATCTGGTAAATACCAATTGTAAGCAACACCATTTCTTTAGTGTTAGACCAAGGTGCATCCCCAGTCAGTATGATGTGTTTCCTAAAGTTTCATATAGCATGAAATGTGTGCAATGGAGTGATAACAACAGGTCAATGAATAATGACCTTTGGTTGCCATGGTTGGGGGGCATCTGAAGAGGAGGAAGACTTTGTTGAAGAGGATCCAGCAACAGAAGTGTGTATTGTTCTTGTAACACCGCCAACCTTGAGTTTCACTGTCTTGACTTTATTGTCATTCCCAGCTCCATCCGATACTATTCCATGCAGTCCAGAATGGTTATTGCAAATCACAGTTCCGCTTATTTGGGGATCTTCTATATGAGATGCTGTGACGTATCCTTCACTAAATCTGTTCATATCTATCTGATCATCCTTTTGTTCAGTATCACTGTAACAGAAGTCTCCAGAGTTTCCATCTTCCACACCTTGATTCATGCCAGTCTCAGTGCCACTGAGGTTACTATATGATGTTCCTGAAATATTACCATAATCAACAATGTCATGACTGGATGCTCTGCTCACACTATCAGATTGCGGCGTTGATGAAATTGATGAATTGTCAGGACAATCCAGAAGCATCTGGGACTCATTTTGCGGCCGGCGATACAGATTAGTCCTCTGTTTCCTAAATGCTTTGCCCAACCCAAAACCTCTGAAATTATCCATAGTAGTAACAGAGAAGGTGTACCCAAAAGCTACTGCAGTTGCTACAGGCAAAAGACACAGATAAATACTTAATAAGATCAATGCATTGTGAGATAGCAAGGACTTAAACCAAAATCATATCAACTGGTATCACCGTATACATACATATTTAGAAAATTCCTTTCACTTAACAACAACAAAATCCTCCAAAAAAAAAAAAAAAGACCTAATAGATGGCAGCAATGATAGAATGAACTATTTGGAGTCATCACCGACGATTACAGATTAACATAAAGCAAATATCTGAATCTCTCTGTCTAAAAAAAGAATCTGAATATCAACCAAAATGATATCAAGAAGATGCTCGCAAAGTTACACCAAATTCTAAGATCAATAGATAATTTTGTCAGCCAGAGGACAGAACAGACTGTGGAAAGATGTTGCTAAAATTAACAAAAATGCGTTTGAGAAAGTGAAACACTTCAATTGACTCAGGAATCAAGTATATTTTATACTTACAAATCTTTGTGAAACACTTCAATTGACTACGAAATCAAGTGTATTATACTTTCAAGTTACAAGTCTAAAAAGAGCTCTTTTCCACTTAAAAAAAACAAGAATCGCGCTAAAACTAAGTTATATTAAAAAGGGAACTCAGAAGTAATGACTTAAGTAGTTACAACAGAAGAAATCTGTACAAGAGACTTGATTTACTAGCAATTCACAGTTTCAAGAAGCTACGAATACAACATTCTCAAACCACAAAATGTACTAAAGATTTAAAAAGAACCCCAACGCGACAACACTTTAACCGACCTAAATTTTCATTGTCCCTTGAAAACCCATCAAACAACTAAGTAAAGCAAAGAAAATATTGAAACCTTACCATCTGGGGTTCCACTCACTAAAACAAATGCAGCAAATTAACATTAAAAACAGACGCTTCACCTTAGGTGTAATGTACAGGCCCCTCGAGATAAAACCCTCGAGAAGACTAATAAGCTCGTAAGTGAAGAGAAGAAAGAGAGGTGTGGAGAGGGCTACTATTTAAGGATGGTGTTACTGTAAAGTTGAGAACCACGTGGTGACTTCCCAGTCGTCTTCTTGCTCCCCGGGTTCTATACTCTGAAAAACACAGCCTCGCAAAAAAAATAAAAAAATAATAATAATATAATAATAAAAAAATTATAATAGCTGTTATTCACGCGTAATTTAACTTTAAAATTATTTTAACTTATGTCATTAATAAAATAGTTAACTGATTGAGATATGTGAGAAATAAGACAACACGGGAGTTGTGAATTTGAATTCTTTTTACCATTTTTTCCCTGTAAATAGTGCAATAATATGCTCCAAATTTGGGAGTTTTAGTAGTTTAATTAGTTGGCTACTTAGAATTTTTACTTTGCCGGTGAAAGTTGGATTCTGTCCTTGGGGAAGGGCAGGGATAGGGGTGGGACGGGAGGCAAGAGAGGTAAACGGGCACAAGGGAACCTATAGATTGAGAATTGAGTCATGAAATATAAGTATATCGGGTAAGTCTATAGAGCTGGCGAAGATACTCCAGAAGAGGAAGGTCAATATAGTGTATGTCCAGGAGACTAGGTGGGTAGGATTGAAGGCGAGATGCGGACAAATATAAGTTGTGGTACTCTGGAGTCCTGAAGGGTAAGAATGGTATGGGTATTTTGGTGGATAGGGAACTTAAAGAATCTGTGGTAGACGTATTAAGTTGGTGGTTCAAGAGTGCACCCTAAAAGTCATTAGCGCTTATGCGTCGCAAGCGGGCTTGGATGAGAAGGTTAAGAGGCGCTTCCGGGAGGGGTTAGATGAGATTGTGCGTAATATTCCGCTTACTGGGAGGTTATTTATAGGAGGAGATTTCCATAGACATATTGGGTCGATTGCAGGCAGCTATGGCGAGGGCATGACGACTTCGATTTTTGGGATATGAACATAGGAGGTACTTCGCTGTTGGATTTTGCCAAGGCATTTTTGAGCTGGTGATTGTGAAATCTAATTTTCTGAAGAGGGAGAAGCATTTGGTTACTTTTCAGAATACAGTGGCAAAAACTCAGATTGACTATCTTCTCCTTAGGAGTGTGACGGAGGATTGTGTAAGGATTGCAAGATTATCCCGGGTGAGACCCTCATGACGCAGCATAGGCTCTTGGTGATAGACGTCGGTATCATGAAGAAGAAGAAGAAGAAGAGGAAGACTGCACGAGGACGACCGAGGATCAAGTGGGAAGCCTTGACTAAGGATAACGCTCAGGAGTTAGAAGAGAGGTTATCGGTTGTGGGAGCCTGGAGGAGTAGTAGGGATACGAGCGATATGTGGTCGGCGACGACAGACTGTATAAATGAGGCAACGAGAGAGGTGTTGAGAGTCTCGAAGGGTTACTCTGGGGCACACAAAGGCGATTGGTGGTGGACTAAAGTTGTCTAAGGTGAAATGGAATCGAAGAAAGCAGCGTACCTGAAGTTAGTAGGGAGCACATGCGAGGAAGAGAAGAGAGCAAACAGAGAGAAGTATAAGGTAGCTAGGAAGGAGGCGAAGTTGGCGGCCACAGAGGCTAAGACTCTGGATTTTGCTCGTCTGTACGAAGAAATAGGGGCCAAAAGCGGGGAGAAGAAATTATTTCGGCTGGTCAAGGCGAGAGAGAGGAAGGCTCCGGATCTAGACCAAGTGAGTTGCATCAAAGACGAGGACAGTAGAGTATTGATGGGAGAGGCCTAAATTAAGTAGATATGGCAAACTTACTTTCATAAACTTCTGAATGAAGAAGGGGATCGGGGTATTGTGCTAGGCGAGTTGGGGCATTCCGAGAGTCACCGTGACTTCGGGTACTGTAGGCGCATCAAGGTTGAAGAGTCCATGGGGGCTATGCGTAAGATGAGTCGGGACAGAGCTACCGACTTGATGAGATTCCGATAGAATTTTGGAGGTTGTGGCTAGAGCAGGTTTGAAGTGGCTGACTGGACTGTTTAATCTTAATTTCAGGATGAAGAGGATGCCGGATGAGTGAAGGTGGAGTATAATGGTTCTGTTGTATAAGAACAAAGGTGATATCCAGAGTTGCAATAATTATTGGGTATCATATTACTTAGTCATACCATGAAATTTTGGGAGAGGATGGTAGAAGCGAGGGTGAGGAAGATGGTGTCTATATGTGACAACCAGTTCGAGTTTATGCCGAGTCGTTCTCCTACGGAAGCTATCCACCTTATTAGAAGGTTGGTGGAACAATACAGGGATAGGAAGAAGGATTTGCACATGGTATTTATTGATTTGGAAAAAACATATGACAAGGTTCCTAGAGATATTCTCTGGAGATGCCTAGAGGCTAAAGGTGTGCCGGTTGCTTATATTAGGGCTATTAAGGACATGTATGATGGATCTAAGGCCCGGTTTAGGATAGTGGGAGGCGACTCTGATCATTTTCTAATTGTTATGGGGTTGCACCAAGGATCTGCGCTCAACCTATTCTTATTTGCCCTAATGATGGACACACTGACACACCATATTCAATGATAGGTACCATGGTGTATGTTATTCGCTGACGACATAGTTCTGATAAACGAGATGTGGGGCGGCATTAACGAGAGGCTGGAGATTTTGAGACAGTCCCTTGAGTCTAAGGGTTTCAAGTTGAGTAAGACTAAGACGAAATATCTTGAGTGAAAGTTTAGTACCGAGCCGGGGGAAGCGGGCATGGACGCGAGGCTTGGATTGCAGGTCATTCTCAAGAGAGGCAGTTTCAAGTACCTTGGGTCGGTTATCCAGGGGGGTGGGGAGATCGACGAGAATGTCACACACCGTATAAGGATGGGGTGGATGAAATGAAGGTTAGCATATGGAGTCCTGTATGACAAGAAAGTGCCACTACTACTCAAAGGTAAGTTTGTGGTTAGACCGACCATGTTGTATAGGCTGAGAGTTAGCTAGTTATAAAATATCCAGAAGATGAAAGTTGCAGAAATGAGGATATTGAGGTGGATGTGCGGGCACACGAGGGCACATAAGATTATAAATAAAGATATTCAATAGAAGGTGGGCGTGGATACCATGGATGACAAGATGGGGGAAGCGAGGCTCAAATAGTTCGACACGTACAGATGTAAAGCTCAGATACCCCGGTAAGGAGGTGCGAGCGGTTGGTGTTGGTGGGTACGAGAAGAAGTAGAGGGCGGCCTAAGAAGTATTGTGGGGAGGTGATCAGGCGGGATATGGAGAGGCTTCAAATCTCCGAGGAAATGGCCCTCGATAGAAAGCTGTGGAGGTCGGGCATTAAGGTTATATGTTAGGAGGTAGTTGAACATATTTCTAACTTGCACCAGTGTGAGGCTACTCTGATAGGATTTTGTCTTAGATTGCTAGTAGTCAATATTGTGTTCACACTACTCTTCTGTTTTTATAATGTCGGGCCTTATTTACTAGTTATTGTTTACTTTCCATCTATTTACTAGTTCTTGTGATGTTGTTATTATTTTTATAGTTTTTATTCATAGTACTGATATATTGTATCTTTCGTCTTCTTGAGCCGAGGGTCTAAAGGAAATAACCTCTCTACCCCTCAGGATAGAGGTAAGGTTTGCGCACACACTACTTTCCCAGACTCCGCTTGTGAAATTTTACTGGATCATTGTTGTTGGTGGTGGTGAGAGTTGGATTCTCAAAAGATTTTTTTTTGGGTTAAAAAGCTGTATTTCATTATAAACTACTCGTTAGGGTGCCAACTGATAGTAACATTGTTTCGAGGGGGTATATCAGTTCACCCTCATTGTGACTAAAGTTATCAATATTAAAATCTAAAATTTGTCGTGATGAAATAGTTCATGTGATGTCTGCCCAAACAATATATGCGGAAAACACCGGAGCAACTGTTGTTACAAAATATTTTCAAAAAGTTCTTCTTGGCTCCCTCCTTGGCTAGTAGATCAGCTACTCTATTCGTCTCCCTATAGATGTGCTTCACCAGCACGTCTCCTAGACTTTGGACGATTGATCTGCATTCAAAGATGATTGAGTCATAAATAAGGTTTCCATTAGTAAGCATTCTAATTACCTATGTGGAGTCTGTGTTGATTTCTAAGGGTATAAGATGTCTTTCTTCCGCTAGTTGCAGACCCCTTAGGATAGCAAGAAATTTAGCTTGTGTGTTGGTAGTATGCTGTATACTTTGCATGTAGCCCAGAATCCAGTTCCCACTTGCATTTCTAAAAACACATCCCACTTCTCCCTTGCCGGGGTTCTCTAGTGCAACTCTATCAGTGTTGAGCTTGTACATGTTAGTGGGTGGTGGCGTCCATTTGACCCAAATAGTTCTATTCTTTGTTGGTGCACTGGTTATTGAAATGGTAATATACTCAGTTACTTTTGCCAATGCAGCTTTTAAATTTACCACATCCTTTCTTTTGTTGAATAGGTTATTTGTTTCTTGTGAGCCAGATTTGCTAGAAGCAGAAAGGAATTAGGTCTTCCCAATTGATGAAGCTGTTGAAGGGTTTCTTTTTAAGGAAATCCCATATGCTTTGCTAGTCCCTACTATTGAAGGAAGATACATGGCTTGGAAGAGGGTTGGTACTTTTAGAAACAAGCCTTGTCCAAAATTGTTTGGCATTAAGGCATTCAAAGTATATGTGAGCAGATGTTTCAATTGCCCGGTTGTAGAAGCATCATTTTGGGTCTAATTGGATCCCAATATGATGGAGGAAGAACCCAATGGGGAGCATGTCATGGAATAGAAGCTAGAAGAAAGACTTGATTTTATTTGGAACTTTTAATTTCCAGATCTACAGGTAATTATTACTTGTGTTTTCACAGTGTTGATGCTCAAGGTTGTGTAGTAGGGAGTATTCTGACTTTAAAGTGAAGATCCCATTAGTGGTAGCCCTCCAGATCATTCTATCTTCTTTTATTGGGTTTGGTGGGATAAAGGTATTGTGGATGGTGTTTTTGATGCTTGGGGATATGTTTAGTGATATAGAAGAAAAATCCCAATCTCCAGTGTTGTGGGTTGATGCCACTGTGATGGCCATGTCTTATTTGGTAAGAGGTCCCTCAATAATGGATCTGATTAAGGGGAAGTTTGGGATCCAAGGGTCATTAATAAAGTTGA